CCGTTCGTAATTGGCCGTGTCGGAGGCGCATTGTCCCGCGGCTTTTCAGGCCGCAGGTGCATATAGTAAAGCCGGAGTCTCCGCTCCTCCCCCGGGCGTCTTTGTTCCCTCTCCCTGCTTCCCCCCACTCCCCCGCCGGGCAGAAAATTAGGGCTGCTTTTTGGGGCTTCGTCCCCTGGCTTAACCCTTTCACCGACCGCCGCCTTTCTCATGGAAATGGGAGAGAACCCCGCACCGGCTAATCGCTCACTGAGGGGAGGGGAGAGGCGGGGGGAAGAGGGGGAGAGGAGAAGAGGGCAGCAGGATCAACCGGAGGAGGAGGAGGAGAACGAAGAGCAGATGTAAGGGGGGGTGGGTGGGGGGACCAGCTTCTCAAACTTTAAGTGAAAGTGATTTCATATAGGTGATGAGGAAAGTACACATTTGAGTTCATTTAAAGTAAATTATGAAACCTTGTGGTTCCAAGATGTATCTGAGACCTATAAAATCATAGTACACCTTTATTTGTACTATTAAACTCTTCCCTACTGGTCCCCCATCTGGAACTTCCTGAGTCTCTCAAGGAGCCCTTGAACCTCATTAAGGAACCTTTGCAACTACCTCAAGGGTTTGTGGGACAGCGTGACATAAGATGTCTTTGTCTAAATGCAAGTTTAAATAGAATAGGATAAAACAGATATATTAATAAAACTCCCAAAAATTATTAGTTTTGAAGTGGGAAATATCTAATTCTGCTCTTATTTTAGTTAAGAGAACATCTGATCAAAAACTCCAGTGTGCTCACTTTATTTGGTTCTGTTGCTGTGCAGCATTCCATTGTTAAAGGAGATACGTGGATAGCACTATAGTTCCAATAGCACCTTTTTGCCTCTTTTTAGCAACCGGCGTGTCTGCAGGTTGAATTTGGCAAACGACCAAGGGAGAACTTCTTGCCCTGTAACCGGCGGAAGTTCTAGCATACATGTGGGTTGTTTTGGCTGCAGACCACGGATGAGGAAGGGATGGGGTAGGAAGAGGTGTGGGCTGGGGAGGGGGTGGAGAAGGGGTGGAGAGAGTGTCAATGGAAAGGATTTTCTGGTCCAATACATCCCATCACTTAGCAACAAGCAGTGAGGCTTCAACAAGTGGTTGCCATGGATCTGCAGAGAGTGACTTAAAAGTCTCCACAAAGAGCTGTAGTCAGCTCCTGTGTGTGTGTGTGTGTGTGAGAGAGAGAGAGAGAGAGAGAGATTATGAGTGAGAATCAGGTGGTGGTTTCCTACAGTTTTTTTTAAAAGTGCGAACCAGCATTTGCTGGTGACACAATCTCGTCATAACCTCTATGTTTTTTTTTTTTTACCAGCGGCTGGATTTGAGTCCAGGCCTGTCTCCTGCGAAGTTAATTTATGCTTGCTCACTGGCAGGTCAAGCTCTCATTCTCTGACTGCTGTTGTCTCTTTCTTCAATGGACATTCCAACAAGCAAGAGGAGGAATTAGCAATGATATCAGCACAAAAAGACAGGAATGAGTTTGGCAACGCTCCTCACGGGAAATTCACAGCTTCAAAAGCAGTCATGGAAATGCGGTGTAGATTTTTATGTGAATCCTCCTGCATTCTGGCAGCAGCCCAGACCCCAACTCTTATCTGCATACCCAACAGGGCAAACAGGTCCTATGTGCACATGCACATAGACATGTAAACACATGAACGGGAGAGACAAAAAGGGTTTGGTATGGGAGAGAATGAGACCTGTAAGAAAAATGTATTTGAGATCAGTCATTCCTCCTGTTTATCCTGACCACCAAAAGATCTCCTTCAATGGAATGAGAGACAAGGTTCACAATTTTTTGCCTCAGCAGTCTGAGTTACAGTATTTGTCATGATGAGAAAAAGAACAGCAAAGGATGAAAATAAATATCTAACTATTAATATATCAATTGTTTTGTATAGTACCTTCTATACGATAAAATCAGAACAAAATGCTTTGCAACAGGGGAAAATATATAAAATGCCAAAAAAGAATGTGCCAACAACAACCTCTTTTGGTTTCACCCCCCAACATTTTTTTTTTTTGAGAGCATGGAAACCGAAAAAAAAAAGAAAGAATTTGACTGATAAAGTTGACTTTTATAGTGGTTGTGATTTTAATTAACTATTAATATAAATGTTATGTTAATATACTCTTTGATATTGTTGTAACCCTAAACCCATACCCTACTAACCCCTGTGAACCCAACACCAACACCCCCCCGCGCGGTCGGTTGGGGCGAGCCGCAGCGTTGTTTGCCGGCACACAGGTGCATAGGTGGGCGGCTCTCCGCTTCAGTTGTGATGAGCGTCAGCCCATGAACACGAGATCTGCTGCATTTTTGGGCGTGCGAGCGAGTGGCACGCAATACCTGGGAGGGCACGCACTCGCACACCGCGTGGCTGAGCGGGCTAAAGGTGCGATAGGGATCGTTGTTTTGTCTGAGAACTGCAGAGGTCACATGCTCCATAAGAGGAGGGCCGGGGGCGCGCACGTGCAAACAGCAATCTGCTACCAAAAAATACAAACAACTGTGTTTGGAGGAGGACTTTGACCACATTGTGAGGACAAATCATACTTTATGTAAAGATAACACTCACTCGGGGGTGGCAAGACTCACAGCGGAACCACTCTTCGGAAACTGGATTCTTGGACGGACCACCATGATGGCCAGCAGTGCTGTCAGCACATACAGGCCCCAACGCCGCTAATAGAGGGAGGTGTTTGCTAAGCCATGAAAGACTTGCCTGACAGGTAACCCTAACGAGGTATGTGTGTGCAGAAGGTGTGGAGAGGCACACCCTGAGGTGAGGAGAACGCTAGATGCGTGGGAGGAGCAGCTGGGCGAAGGAGCGCCAAAGTGTTTGTATTCTGTGTTTGGAGATTTCACAAAATACAATTAGTGTGAGCACAGGTGTATCACAGACTAAAAGGCTTAGTATGTCGTAGTGCTCAAATTGGTACACACAAGTGGCCTGTAACAGTGCTCATCGTTGACTTTTAGAAGTGGGCATCAGCTTCATTATGTAGGATCTGCTACCTTGAACTATAACCTGAAGCGTCACTTATCGAGGGGTTGAGTCATTTGCTTTCCGGCTCAAAGATGCCGGATTACTAGAATCACACATTATCCTGGTTTCATCAGGTTCATCTGGTTCTTTCATCGCAAGTTGAGCAACTTTATTTTCTTCACTAACGTTCCTGAAGGAGAAGATTCCCATTCTGGCTGGTCACAAAGGCAACAAATATTAAGACTTATTTTGAGATGCATGTTCCCACGGTTTCCAAATGTAACTTTGTAGAGCTACAGACTAAAAAACATCGTCCGACTAATGTTTTCAGAAGTCTTGTTGTTTCTGTTCCACCAAAGAGCAATTTCCCCTCCAAACCGCTACGGTTTCAAGAGGTAATATAATTCAACAATTAATATTCATAATATAAAAGCAAGAAGAAAAATATAATTCAACAAATAGAGGAAATATGATTTGTTGTGTTTTTTATTTATTTAAATCTTTTAGCAATGTGGCCTAATTGTATGTGTATTATATTATTACAATATGTCGCGCCTGAATAATAACTAAATTCCCTTTGAAGCTTGTTATTGACAAGGACATGATTAGAGTTATTTCGATGACATTCTTAAATAAAGGAGAAGCAGAAAATCCATTGAGACTTCTATTGTGTGTCAGTTTTAATAAATAGATCAATTTATCATTATCCAGTTGGTATTCTACTTGCACGGTAAATGCATATAGACTTAGTAATAGAAGCACAATGGCCGTGGGTTGGAGCTGCCAGTCTCAGTATTGGTCCTTCAGGGGTCGGTATTGTTTGAAGGCAACCTGCATTTCTAGATGCCC